CTTTACTTGTAAGTTCAACTTCCTTCTCTTTATCTATTCTTCTCAGTACTGCATTGTTCTTAACTCTGTCTACCCAGTAAATCCTCATAATTCTTCTATAGGTCCACATTTCAAAGGCGTTAAGTCGTCTCATTGTGTCTAGAATTAACGTCCATAATTCCACTCCATATATAGTACACTTTATACTCGTACTTTAAGAGCTAATGTTAAATTTTTGCCACATAGGACCTTTTTCATTTTCATAAAATTAGAACGTGCTTTTTCGATTCTGACTTTGATTTCTGCAGTGTAGTCATTAAAGTGTTCCTAGGTAAGTGTACTTTTTTACTCTTTCGATCTGCTGGCCCTCTACTATCAAGATTTCGTTAGTATTATGGTTGTTTTTACAAATTTTTATAAACTTCGTCTTTTTGATATTGAGCGAGAGTCTGTACTCCCTACTACTCATTACTATTTTACATATGAGTCTTTCCAGGTCTTGTAAACTATCGGCTATTATTACTATATCATCTGCATATTTGATGTTGTTAACTAAGACTCCATTTACTCTTATGCCGACTGTTTCATCTTCTAGAGTTTCTCGAATTACCTCTTTAGAATAAGCGTTAAATAATAGAGGTGATAGAATGCAGCCTTGCCTGACTCCTCTCTTTATTTCTATTTCTTCAGATGTCTCTTTTTCGATTCGTACTATTGCTCGCTGATTGTAATAAAGGTTTGTTCATCATCATTTTGGCTTTACAACCCTGTGTTGGTCCTAGCCTCCCCAAGAATTCTCTTCCAGTCGTCCCTATCCATCGCCTTTCTCCACCAAGCACGTATTTCCATATTTTTCTTATCTCTCTCATAATAAAGGTTTGTTATTAGCCTTAAATCTCTTTTATCTAGGTTATTATTTTTTAGAATTTTCATGAGTCGGTCATGTTTCTCCTAAAAGAGGACTCTCATAAAGAGGACGGTTAACATCCAAACATCTCTTCGTCAGCACGTTGAAGGAGAATAATGCCTCTCTGGTACCCATTCCATTGCGGAACCCAAATTGTATGTCACTAATATCCAGGTCCACTTTAGAATAAATTCTGGTGTGGATAATTTTCAACAGAATTTTCAAGGTATGTGACATTAAGCTTATGGTTCGATAGTCACTGCACTCTTTGGCATTAACTTTCTTTGGCAAACACACAAACACTGATGTCAACATTTCTCTAGGGATGATTCTCGTCGTATAGATAACGTTGAACAGTTTTACTAGTATGTCCAGGTTTTTCTCGTTGACCAACTTTAATAGCTCGCTTGGTAATTCATCTGGACCAGCAGATTTATTGGTTTTCATTGAGTTTAATGCCTGACTAACCTCTGATTTGGATATTTCTGAGCCTACATCTTCCGTTTGGCTATCTACAGATGTACTAGCTTCTCTCTGGTCATGAAATAATTGCTCGATGTACTCTTTCCATCGTCGTAGTTTTTGTTCTGTCTTCAATATAATATTTCCATTTTTGTCGAACAATATATTTGAGGTTCTTCTATTTCCTACTCCGGCTAGTTATTTGACTTTTTTATGTAGACTAAAGTTGTCATATCTGTTTTGTAGTTCTTCTATTTCTTTACATTTTTCAGAGAAGTAGGTTTCTTTAGCCTCCCTAATTTTTCTTCTTATTTGGTTTTGAAGCTGTTTATTTTGAAGCGGTCATCCGTTTTTTTTTTACATTTGTTTGTCGTAAGTACTTTCTTACTTGGCTCCAATATAGAGGTTTTGAAGAATTACCACTGCTGCTCTACGTTGCAATTATTTCTTGGGTTTTCATCTATATTTATGTTATAATAAACTATAATTCTGACCCTGGCCGTGGAAGCCTACGATTTCATTAGATTTGTGTTGATTTCGTGTTTCAGATTTTCTTTTGTTTCTTCTGACTTTAGTTTCTGTACGTTAAGTTTATTGTTGTTGTGGCTTTTTTGCGTCTTATTTAGTTGAAGTTGAAACCTAGCAATAAGAAGACTGTAATCAAAGGATACGTCTGCTCCTGGATATGCCTTTACTGCCTGAATTGAGTTATCTGTCCGATATCTATGATTTATAATAGTCAATTTGATTTCTGACAATTTTCATATATAAAGACGTTGTTTAGGTAATTTAAAAAATGTATTTGCGGCTATAACATTATGCTCCTGGCAAAATTCTATTAGGCGATCTCCTCTGTCGTTTCGTACACCAAGCCCATATGGTCCTACATTAGGGTAGCATTTTCCTTCGCTAATTTTTGCATTGAAATCACCCATGATTACTGTTATATCTCTAGATGCTGTGAGATGTAGTGTTTTTTGTTGCTCTGTATAAAAGTTTTCTATTTCTTCTTCATTTCAGTTCATCATTTTCCATAGGTTGTCAATAGCTGCAGCATTATAATTCTTTCGGACATCCGAACGAAGCCTGTTACTGATATCGTTACTTTTCCATTGGGGATCATAGCAACTCCGTATCTGTGTTGAGTGTCGCTGCTTCCAGGGTAATAAATTCGTCCATTGTCTGTATTGAGTTTGCCAGAGCTGACACATCTTGTATCGCTTATTCCTAATATATCGATCTCCAGTCGCATCATCTCTTGCTGTATATTCCGCAGTTTCCCAGGTTCATGCATACTTCTTGCATGTAGCGATTTTGCAGATGGATTTGTATATATTTAGTGAACAGGGATTTCGCTGGCTAACGGCCTGGGAAGCCCTGTCGTTACTGTTGTTTCATACCCTGCCGAATCTTGACATCCGAGAACAACGATTAGTAGGTTATTGATTGTCATTTCTATAAGCCATAACGATTTCTAGGGATACTCTATGAGTTTCTCGTTGTCTTCTGCATTCTTCTGCCGTTGACCAATTTATTGGGTCTTCCGCCTTTGAAGTCGATTTGTCAGCTCCAGGACAAAAGAGTGTCCTACTACCTACCGACTCATCCGCCAGAAGCCGTTGGTTGGTAGGCAGGGGATTGCTTATACCGGCAACCATTCGGTGAATTACCTGTTCGTCCACAGGAGGTATTTTATTTCTCTCTTACCCACCGGTAAACCGGGTCGAGCATCTATCCGCCACCTGGAGACGTACTCACTAGGAGTTACAGGTTCTCCCGAGAGAAGAAAATTCTATCAAGTTTATTATTTGTTATTCGCCAACTAGCAAGGGTTGTCAACTTTGAAACATTAAAAATGACATATTTTTCTTTATTCCAATTCCAATTACAATTTTATGATTGATAGAACTATGTAAATGTACTGTAAATGATTTGAAAATTATGAACGGATTATACAAACACAAAAATATGCATAAGTACACATGGACTCAAAAGACAAGAAAACTAAGATCCATTATTGACTACATTATCATGAACCACAAAAGCTCCATCAAAGTGAAAGACACCAGAGTGAAAAGAGGGGCAGAGTTTGGAACAGATCACAAACTTGTGGTGGCATTGATGGAATTTCCCTACACCTGGACAACACAAAAACATACATCGATTGTTACAACGGGAACGACAATAAACGAAAAGAGGCGCAAATTACATCTATTACAGGAAGAATCAATAAAAGATCTATACAAAAGAAGACTAGACCAAAAACTAGAAGAATTCAGATATGACACGTTAGATGAAATGCATGAACACATAAAAACCTGCCTGATTTCAGCGGCCTTAGAAGCTCTTGGAGAAGACGACCAAAGGAACACCCATCAGATTATCAAATTAAGGGAAGACACATTGGAATGTATAAAAGTAAAGAAAAAACTACACATAAAATACCTAAACACCAAAAAGGAAGAGTTAGACCTATATAGAGCGAAAAACAGAGAGGTAAAGAAAAGAGTAACAAATGAAAAGAACGAACGATGGGAACAACCATGCACAGAGATAGAACGACATATCGGAGGAACGAGAAATTCAGAATCATGGCGAATATTAAAAGCACTCTAACGAAATAAGACAGAGAAAACCCAGATCGGCAAAATTAGTGAAAACGAGTGGCAAGAATACTACGTAGAACTACTTACAGAAAACCGTCCCCAATTTCAGGAAGAGAATACAGAACATGCAGAAAATGGGACATACGACCAGATAGAAATAAGTCTGACAAAAGTCAAGAGAGCAATCAAGACATTGAAGAACAAAAAAGCCAAATGACCCGGAGGGATACCAAACGAACTAATTAAAAACGGAATGGAAAAGTTATTCCGCATTCTACACAATGTTCGAAAGAGGACTAAATGGAGAGGAAATGCCTGCGGAATGGACACAAGCATACATCACATCCATACATAAGAAAGGAAACAGGAAAAAATGTGAAAACTACAGATGAATTAGTATAATATCGTCGGTAGGTAGACTTTACGGGAAAATTATCAAGGAAAAACTAGAAACTGAAATAATAGGAAAAATTGGAGAAGACCAAGCAGGGTTCACAGTAGGAAAATCATGCCTAGATAAGACAGTAAAAACTGTGGAAATCCTTAGTAGTAGTAGTTTCTTTATTCCACTATCACCTAAACTATGGTGTAATCATATGGGGCAATTCAACAAATGCACTTCAAAGTTTTAGAATGCAAAAGAAAGTTATCAGGATTTTAGCAGGGGTAACAATATTTGTATATGTTATGTAGTTAAAGAAAAATTATAAAAAGGAAGTAGATGATAAAGAATATTTCTATTATCTTCATCCGTCTACAAAACGTAAATGACTTGTTGATGACTTTATTTGTTAATGTTTATGTTCAATATTTGTAATCTTTTTTACTACATCATTAATTAAATTGACTTTAATATATTTTATAACTATACATTACTGTGTTATCGTTTAATAAAAAGTACCTTCTGATTATTTCACAAGAATACTAATATTTTCCTGGTATTGATTATCCCACGGTACGCTCATGTTATTATATCTCTAAACAAAATGATAATTGATAATCTTGTTATTATATAAACAAATTCTATCTTCAGCTACACTCAGTCTACAAGTTCCACTCTTATCGAGTTGTTATAACTTATTTTTTTCAACCGACCGCCGGCAATTGATAATACATATATCAATTCGAAGAATTCGTTCTTTCAACATATCGTCTTTAGTGTTCAAGATTGTTCCTGTACCAGTTTCCACACTGTGGGCTAAAATAATTTCCGTCAAGTCTGAAACAAATGGCTGATCCTGGTGAAAGTAACAATATTTTTGCAACTGTCAATTGCAGCAACTTGGTCAACAAACCTCAAGGATCCGAAGTTGTCACATTCCCACACCTTAAATACCCACAATTTCCAGTGGTACAGATGCTGATGAAAGAACTCAACTTGTGCGCCCACGACCACAGCTTCGTACCCCCACGATAAGTTCCCTGAGGAACTAATTGCTGGGATCACTACATATCGCTTTGGAAAATATTCGTGGAATCCGAAGTTTCACACAGCACTGTGAAATTTTTGGGAATGATGGAGAAAATATAAAAAATATCGTGCCTACGGAGAGCTATATTCCTCTCGTAGCAAACAGACTATTCTTATTTTGTAGTTAATTTTTTAGTAAGCTTAATTCTATAATCTTTAAAATGCCGGTGTTAACTTTGCAGAGGTCGTACAAATACATCATGTACGCGACCAAGCAGCCTTCCTTGAGGATCAAGCAGGCTGATTTGAAATGTAAGAGCGGATGCGGATTTTATGGAAATGCAGATTGGAACGGTGAGTAGCCCTTTATTAATAATTTATTTTTATTTGATTTTAAAGTTCGGTTTTTAAACCTCGGGTATGAGATACACACTAAAAAAATTGGCAGTCTATTTATTTTCCATAGAAATTTTGCACTTTGTCTACTACTATTAGTAAAATAAACCTACCAGTTATTGACACATTCAGAGAGAAAAACTTTTTCCCATATTCCTATTCTTCATTTATCATACTTGCTGAAATCAAAATTTGTTCAGGGAGTATTTTGCAATGTTGTTAATGAAATGGAACATTTAAATAATAAATAGAAACAATTTTTCATTTTGATTCTAATGAGGATACAGAACAATTTTTTTTTTACCCACTAATTGACATAGTAATTTTGAAAAAATCCATTCTTTGACATCTTAGTTATTGACATGAGAAAATCCCAAAAAAGTAATTGTTAATGATATTTTAACTGTGTATAAAAACTAAACTAGGCATTAAAAAAGAAAATAAACTTAAATGAAACAATACTAGGAATTTAAGGTGCTTCAAATACATACATTTTAGCCTATCTCCTAAAGTTACAATCTAAGGAATGTGTAATTTACCGATTATATCTAAAAATATAGTTAAAGGGTCATTTTCGTCAGTTTTAAATTGAGTTTTTCATCATTGGTTCCTTTAAGGCACATCACTTCTACCTCACTTTCTTCACGAAATATGTTTTGAGCAACACAAGCATACTTATGTGTTACAGTTTTTCTTTTTCCCCCACGAAACTTAACAAGCAGATAGTCTTCTATAGCAACTGCACCAACAGCATCTACTTCTGAAAATGCAGTTTCTTCTTGCTTATTGATTTCTATGCCATCTAAGCTGTCACCACTTTCTATCCAGTCTTCAGCACTTTCAGAATCGGAGGTTTCTTTTTTCCTTTTCTTAATTCGATCTAATTTATTTTGCTCCCTTAGAAAATCTTTCTTTTCTTTTTCTTTAAGTTTCCTGGTTTTCTCGTCTTCTTTTTCTTATAATAGTTTTGCCACGCTTCTGAAGTAACAACTGATGGTATTTTCTCCTTACTTTTTCTTTTTTGGTTCCTCTGGGAGTAGGATCTAGTCAGAATAACGTTTTTTAGAAGGCGATAGCACATCTAAAGGAAAGGTACTGTTTAAAACTAGTTTCTCTAGCATTAATTTCAGTAGTTATTAGTTTTTCGGGATTACAAAATTGGTAATCAGGATCGTTTGAAACTACTGGTTTAGCTTTTCATGTTATTTCAGCTGCTTGACTGAATATGTTTATAGATCTAATAGATTCCTCATCATAGGATTCATCGTCCCCAGACACTAGATTCGACACTAGACGAGCTATATTATAAATATTTTTTGTTTGTTTTGTGTCTGCTCTTTTATTTATTTCTTCATATGCATCCTTCCACATTTGAAATAGTGAGGTATCTGTCAATTCGATTTGCTGATAACTTGGAAGGCAATCTTTAAATTTGTGTAATTGGTCTTTACCAATTCTCTTTTCGATTGCCGTTATAAATATTGCTGTATTGCTCCTAATATTTCTGACCACAACCTGGTGCTGTGAAATTTTGTCAAATTTGACATTTTCAACAATAAAAGGGCACAAGCCGATAGCTTTAAACGCATTCGTGATGGTTTGCTGAGAAATAGATTTTAATGCGTTCTTCAATCACGGCACAAAATGTTGTTTTTGTAACATTTCCAGAATTATCCAGCCTCCATTTTTGTACTTCATTTCTCCAGGGTCTCTTCAACGGTTTAAATACACCTACATCCAGTGGTTGTAGTAGATGCTTAAAATTTTGGATACAGGGTGATATATTCTATTCTATTTTTGGTACAAAAAGTTGACAGATGTAAAGTCATATGGGACACATGGTCATCGACAAAGAACACAACGGGTCGTTCAATTTTCTCTTCCTTGGTCTATGACACAAAAATGTTGGATATGTACTCATAAAAAGTGGGTACAAACATCCACCCGTTTTCTAAAGTACCAATTGCCCATTCTTTTTTAACACTAGATGGTATATACCATCATTCCAGCATTAGACTTAAGCCAGCTTAAAAATGAACATCTACGACAAACAGTGCGAGAAGAAATAAACACCAGCCTCAGTGTAGCAGAAAGCCAAATCCGCAGAACAGACAACATAGATGAAAGACTTAAGTATATAAATACGATAATAAGAACTACGGGAAAGAAACACCTAACCAAATCTGCAAAGAAACATAAGGTGTGGATGACACCAGACATTCTAGAACTAATGGATGAAAGACGTAAAATGAAGAATAATGCAGAAAAATACAAAGAGGTTGATAAGAACATAAAGCAAAGAATAAGAAATGCCAAAGAATCATGGATTACAGAACAATGTGTAGAAATGGAAAACTATGAAAGAAAGTATGACACGTTCAATATACATAAAAAAGTAAGAGAAATTACAGGAACCCAAAGAAGACGTCAAATAAGTTTGCTTAAGAACAAAGATGGAAAGATTATTATAGATTTAACATAGAAAATTAATAGATGGAGTGAATACATAAGAGAATTATTTGAGGACAACAGAAATAACATTGTTCTGATATATGGCGAAACGGGACCTGAAATTCTAAAATGTGAAGTAGAAATGGCACTTAAAAATTCCAAAACCGGGAAGGCAAATGGACCGGATGAGGTTCCTACCGAATTGCTAAAGCTCTTGAATGATGAATCAATAGGTATAATATTGCACTTATTTAATACAATATACAATACTGGCATTATACCTCAAGAGTGGCTGTTGTCTACATTCGTTACACTGCCAAAGAAATCTAATGCTAAAGAATGTTCAGAACATCGAACAATATCTTTAATGAGCCACCTACTAAAGATATTTCTAAAAATCATCCACAACCGAGTTTATCAAAAGTTGGAGTCAGATATTAGTAATACACAGATGGGGTTCAGAAAAGGGCTTGGTGCTCGAGAAGCTCTCTTTAGTTTGAATGTTCTCACACAAAGATGCCTAGACGTTAATGAGGAGGTACATACGTGTTTTATCAATTTTGAAAAAGCGTTTGACAGAGTACGCCATGATAAGCTTAGAGAGATTCTTGAAAGGAAGGACATAGATAATAAAGATCTGCCAATAATTCTCAATCTATATTGGAATCAGAAAGCTAACATCAAAATAGAAACTGAAACATCACAAGCAATAGAAATACGTAGAGGAGTACGACAGGGTTGCATTTTGTCACCTCTGTTATTTAATGTATATAGTGAAAGCATCTGTCAGGAAGCCCTTTTACAAGCAAACGGAGGAATCGTAATTAATGGAGAGATTGTAAATAATATTAGATACGCGGACGACACTGTACTAGTTGCAAGAACAGTAGAAGAATTACAAAGATTACTTACAGACATAAATATTGCTTGCAACAATTATGGTATAAATATCAATATTAAAAAAACCAAGTATATGGTCTTCAGTAAAAACATGACACAACCAGCGCATATTAGTATAAACGGCACTCAAGTTGAAAAAGTATTAAACTACAAATACTTGGGAACTTTAATAAACGAAACTGGAGACCAAAACAGTGAAATAAAAAGACGTATCGAAATTGCCAGGGCCACCTTCATAAAGATGAGAAAATTCATCTGCAACAGAAATATAAGCATCCCTCTACGATTAAGAATGCTGAGAGGCTATGTATTTAACACGCTATTATACGGTGCAGAGGCCTGGACTCTCAAACAGAACAACATGAAAAATATTGAAAGTTTCGAGATGTGGTGCTACCGTCGAATGCTGAAGATTAGTTGGGTTGAAACAATAACAAACTGTGAAGTAATACGAAGAATAGGAAAAGACCCAGAGATTTTGTTAACGCTAAAGCGTAGAAAGCTCGAATATTTTGGTCACCTGATGAGAGGACATAAATACGCATTACTTCAAAATATAATGCAGGGAAAAATAGAAGGAAAACGGAATCCAGGCCGTAGAAGAATGTCATGGTTGCGGAATTTGAGAGAGTGGTTTGGCTGCACCACTAATGAACTCTTTAGGTCAGCCGTAAACAAGGTCAGAATAGCCTTGATGATTTCCAATCTCCGATAGGAGTGGCACAAAAAGAAGAAGAAGGTATAAACCAGCAGCATTAGCGGTTATCAGTACAGTTAGATTTTCCTTCTCATTTCCTCGGGCACTGTAATTTTTTTTTCGCCCTTTTTTTGCTAAAACTTTATCTCCCTTTGTGTTAAAGTTTGGCTAGTCATTTCCGAAATTTGAGGATGCCTACCTCAAAAACCTTTATACAATTTTGGCTCAGGCCTTTCATTTACAAATTTGGTATGTCTTTTGGTTTCCTAAGTGTACGTTCAACACTGTCTATAAGCATGCGCGGAACTATCTTCTCTGCTGGCTTCGGATGTTTTTGATTTCTTCTGGATTTTTCGTTTTGGCAATGTTGAACCCTTATTTCCTGAATTTCCAAACGCTTGTCTTTTTACGCTATTAAGTCTTTTGCTTTGAGTTTTATCGAGAGGATCTGCTAAATCAGTTTTGTAGGGAGAGGAGGTAATTATTTTGGATTTGGAACCTCTTCGTACACGAGTGGATGTTTTTTTAAGATTGGTATCAATAGGGGAGACAAAAGATGAAAAGGTGGGAAAAGGTGACACAAATCTTAAAGAAGTCTCACTGGAGCATGAAGTCGATGGTTCTATAGACCCTTTGTTAATTAATTTGGAGCAGATAGGTTTTGGTTCCATCAGCTTCTCTCAAAGAGAACCAAAAGCTGCTCCTTTGGGTAAAGATTAGTTGGTGTCTATATCGGAGCTTCTTAAATCCACTTTATTTTTGGGTACAATATCGTTTAGAGATGTCATGTTACACGTTGTTTCGCTTCATACTTTTCGACTATAAAGTCTGCCTCAGAAAATATGTTACCTGAACAGATTTTGTAGGTAGGTACCCATTCTTCTTCTTTAAGTTCCATCTTCTATCGAAG